ACATATGACTGATGCAGAATTAGAAGCACTTTTGACATTTTTAAATGCTAGTGATCAATCTATTACTTGTTCATATTGTAGTATTCCTCGATTAAAGTAAATCTTTTACTTATCTATTTTATTTTGATATCTTTTTCGTTTCTTTTTTGAATAGATCTCTTGATATTATGCCTTTGTCTAATCGATTAAAAGCATGGAAAGCTGAACCAAAAAGTAATATATTTATTTATCATGCAAAACGTGCTTTACCTATTCAACAACAATCTCTTCATCGGAAAGTAGGTATGATATGTATTTATTCAATTTTCCTTTTTTGTTTAAAAAAAAGCTTTTGGATGTTATTGAAATATTTGTTTTTTGTCTCAGATTTTCTTTGGGTAAAAAATGAACAAGCACAAATAGGACTTGTAGTAGAGAATTATTTACCAGAAACAATGTTTATTGATCAATTAGAATTTATAACTGAAAATGAATTATTTACAAAACTTGATACAAAATATTGTATACCATCACGAACAACAAAATGTTTATTAATTGATTGTATACCAAAAGAACCTGGACAACTTCGAATACAAGGTTTAAATGAAAATACTTTTCTTCAAATGTAAATAAGTTTTTTTTTTTTTTTTGGATTAGGTCTTCGTTATCATATTTGGTCAACAAATCAAGAATTTCGTTTTGGAGATTTTTCAACAATTCGTCAATGTTTATGTTCTGTTGATGTAGTTGATGAATTACCTATTCTTGATGTTGAATATCTTTTAGTTAATAATACTAAAATAGATCTTATAGATAATTCAACAATATATAATGCTCAAGTTCATCGAGGTGAAGAGTATGTAAAAAAAAAAATTTTCATTATTTAAAAATCTAACGCAAGACAAAAACAATAAAATCATAAAAGAAAAATCTGACATCTAAAAATATTTCATGGATAAATAGATAATATTAATCTGATGATTTAACAGTTATATATATATATATACGAGAAAATATATCCAATTATCGGTTCATATTATGGCTGAGAATAGATCTTGACGTGATAAGAATACAACATTTCCAACAAATTCAGAAACAACGAGTTTCGTACTGAAACTATGCATATAGCTACGTTTGATAGTTATTAGATAGGTCTGTACATTTCAACGAAAATTAACATGTTTTCCTCGAAATATTCACTATCTAAAAACACAGCAGTTTCTCATAAGAGAACACAGTAAGCGAATCTATTTGAAAATTGATTATCTCAAAAAAGACATGTTCGTTTTCATTAACACTTTCAGAACTATCTAATTAATGATTACAAAGTGTATCTCTCTATTTAATATCAGCTCGAAACTCTTCTTTTTGTTGAATTTTTCGAAAATGTTTTGCTTTCAGTAACAATATCATTAAAACGAACATAAGTGATCACTATTCTCCTTTTGAGTACGCTTTAAGAATGAATTCATATGAAAGTTGATATGAAATTGACTTTTTTTTTTTTTTGTTGAATAATAGATTATTCGTAACACTTGGATTAATTAATTCATCCTTAGTATGTGATATTGATAATTTGGAAATTCAAGTTTTTGCATTTGGCTTCAATATGTCTGGTTTGTCTCAAATAGAAAAATAAGAAATTAATTTATCTATTGAGTTTCAATATAGAATATATCAAAATTGGAGAATTCGATTTACCAATATCGATTAAAAAAAGTATGCAACCAAAAATAAATCTTACAGAAGTTTATAATCGCTGTCTTTCACGACAAGATCGATCAACATCAAATATTGAAGTAGAACATATGAAAAAAAAAGTTCATATAAAATTCATTTTTTTCTTGTATTGATTTCATTTTAGTGTTTAACAATTGAGTTTCGTTTAAATTATTCAAATGAATTATCAAATACAAATGGTTATTATCGACAAAATATAACTGAACTTCGTCTTAATTATATTTCATCAGTAACATTTGAAATTAATGATATACAAAATGATGAAGAGTAAGACATCCTTTTCATAAGCTTATCTATTTTTGAATCATTTATTTTTCAGTGATTCATCATATCTCATATGTTGTACAATTGATAATCATTTATCGGAAGGTATTATATTTCAAAATAATACAATAAAACCATCGGAAACTTCATTAGTATTATTAAAACAAGATAAAATTAAATTAAATACATTTTCATCTAATTTAAATCAATTAATTGCTGATATTCGAACACAATTACCAACACATACTCATTATAAAACAACCGATTCGGTTAGTATGATTTCATTGCTTTTATCCACGACAGTTGCATTTTCCCCCCCCCGCCCATCGCCCGCCGCCCCCTTCCCCTGCCCCCTCTCTCCTCCTGTCTGTCTCACGCTCTCC